CAGTTATGCCGCCACCTCACTGTAAGTTTGAGGGCTCTGAACTTAGTCATCAGTTCTTTCTTTGATAATATTGACTCTTTCTTGCGTCTTAGCGAAGAGCTTCGTTCTCTCAAATTAATTTGATAATATGTGGAATGTGAAATGTAACGACTGCAATATTTTTGTCTTCTTTCTTTTCCTTTTTCCAAAAAGGAAGATGTTATTGCATTTGATGAAGAGTCAACTTGAAGCGCCTCTTATCTGCAGATTTAGACTTACTTCTACAGGACTTGTGTGTGCTTTAATGCAGTAGAAAGCTTTTGATTTTAGCTAAGGGTACAACTGACTCTAAGTAATGCTTGTATTAGTAGTCGGTTTGGTGGCGAAGTTCTTCTGAATTGTTATTATCTGCTTGTTTCAATGTTGATTTCACAACCTGTCTATTTGTTGCATGACACCACACTAGTTCGAGTATATGTGCCTTTTATTTGATGGGTTGGGTATAGTTAAGCTGTCAGAGGAATGGTAGTTTTGATATCAACTAATGCTGTAAGCATAATGTCTACATTCTGAATGCTCCATTGCGAATGAAATGTGTACGGCTAAATTGTATAAGTTTGAGCACTGGTTGAATGGCAACTTCTGGTTGTTAACGATTTTGGTTTTGTTCCACTCTAAATTTTGAGCTAGCCGTATTGTTCCCTATAATTAAACTGGCTTTTTCCAAATTCGTGCTGTGTTTCATTAATCTTTTGAAAATCAGATTTAACTTGACATTTCTCTAACAAGGAAAAGTGAAAGGAAGAGATTGAAACAACCCCTTTAGGATTTCAAATTAAGCTTTGAATAGCTGATCCACCGGACCTTCAACCGCCATTGAGTTTTTCTTGCACTTCCAGTAACTTCACAGTTTATATGCCTTAGGTTTTGCAATATAATGTGATAGATAATAAACACGGTACACTTACTTTTACGGTGTCTATGGCAATCACTGATACAATAAACTGCAGATGGTAGACATGGTGGAAATCAAGGTTATGGAGGTTCTTATCGACACGGTAGAGGTATGCTTTACAAAGCTTTTGATTCAGTTCTAATGCTTTACAACATTGTATTTTTCTATCTTTTGTTTCAGTATAGTATATTTAACAAACAACTCTATCTTATGAGGAAAACAGACTATCATCGCAAGCGACACAGGGAAGATGA